CAACACTTGTTGCAGATTGGAGGCTCCATTCAATTGCAACAATTCTGTGCCCACCAGCCAAGTGACATCTGGTTGCAAAGACCTCCAGCGAAAATGACACTACTCCCAGGTGCTTGTGGGCCTGGAAGCAAGAGGTTGAGCAAATACATGTTGAAAGAACAACAATGCCAGAATGAAATAGTCTCGATTGCGCCAGTAATTCCTGTTTGGACAATGTAACAGAAGCACCATAGCAATGGACCAAAGCAGAGTAAGACAATCTGTCAGGATGCAAAGCTCTGAACCAAACCTCGTGTTCATTGACATGAGTCACCATGTCTTGCCAAATCGTGAAAAAGTCAACAATCCCAGCGGTCCCATTCGTAATACCAGTTGATTCTTGTTTCATCCCAACCTCTATAGCAAAAGTTGTGAATGTTGCGCTTTGCAAAATGTCGTTTCTAATCATCAGTGTCACGAGATACCTGAGAATCATCAGCGTTCATTGTAACCGCGAGGCAAATCTAATCTGGAATCTCTTCGGCTTTCAAAGCCGATGCAATGCTGCCCATATGCAAGCGGGTCTGTTCAGTGGGGCCTCTATCCAATGTATATACAAGTTCTGCACCACAGGGCCATTCATGCGTTTTCCCTCAAGCCCATTCAAACCACACAGTCCTCATGTGAGATTGAATGACGTCTGTCCAGTACTGTATATCTTTCCAGTGGTTCTCCAGAAATTTGCTCACCTCACCTTCAACTAATGTTGAGCGCTGCAAGTGAGTGGCGCTGGCCAAAAGTTTCCTCAAAACATTTTCTTCTTGCAGCTCAGCAGTGTCGTACAGTCATCAACTGGCACAGTACCCTTCAGCTCACTACTGTCATCAACTGGCACAGTACCCTTCAGCTCACTACTGTCATCCACAGTGTCATCGTAGTTGTCCTCAACCTGGCCACAATTCAATTCAGGGGTCCGGGACTACCAGGTCGGCCCAGTTCATCGGGAGCGTCAATAGTGGACGTAGTCGACGATAGGCGGCTTGGGCATGGTTTGATTCCCAAAGTTTACGTTGACAAGACCAACGTGAGGAATCTGATCATGACTGACTGAGCATCGAACGTTTGCAGCAAGTAACCATGACTGACTGACTCTGATTTTCAAACTCTCATTTCTTGAATCATTGAACTGACTTGGTTTCGACTCATTCATTTGAAATCCAATTGAAACAACAATGAATTCATTCATTTGCCGACCTGCCCCCCCTCCCACGGGCCAAGCCTTGCCATAGGTGATGACATCTCCTGTCAGGATGAGGGAACCCTGCCAAGTTCAATTTTCAAACTCCTATTATTTCTTAATTTCAATCTGGCTGTGCAGTCCTTGTCATCGCCAGTGATTCTGCCAGGCCACCAGGCCCATTCAATGAATGCCATCCACAGCATCAGTCAATTCAACGAAACAACATCAGGCACAGTCACAGACTTCAGCAGCAGCAATTGAGAGTGCAAATTGTGATGGTCGGCCAGCTTGCGTTTAGTTTTGTGCCTACCATGTCAAGTGACTCATGAATCAATGAATGTCAGTCAGTGAAGGTTCCACCACCCAAAGGTTTAGTTGGCTATATAACTCACAACTTGAAACGTGTTCTCCCAAAAACAAAGTGAAGTATCAATAGTAGTAATACTCTCAAATCCTAAAACACACTCATAGCAAAATGAGGATGGCAACGAAATGCTGATTTTCAAACACAGTAAATTAGATCATTTACTTGTCAGCCTTTTAATGAACATCACGTTCAGATACAAAAGTGACAAATACATGTTTTGCATTTTCAAATCCTTTTAAATCATTTTTTGCACGTTTAAAGCAAAAAAGGTATAAGCTTCAAATACGAATAAAGATGATTTAAATGTGATTCAATGTGCTTTTAATTTCCCTGTAAACAAGGGTGACCTGGAGAAGGGTGCCCATCTGGACCCTCAACTTTGGCTTGGGGAAAAAGGATACTTGACGTGTCATCGAGCACCCCCCGCCAAGAGGACAACGTCACCAGAAATACATTTTGGCTTGAGGTGAAGCATGCAACTTCTTTGCGCGGACTTCGAACGGGGTGCGATTGGCCACAAACGGAAGAGCCTACAAGGGTTTGGACATTATCCATGACAGAAGTCAAACAACTTCATGGAATTCGCGATTGTCGAGCGGGGCATGGCCGAGTGACTTCAACCTGGCTATTGCGCAGGAGTCAAAAGACCTGGCAGCATGGGCTGAGGGTCGCATTTTGGAGGCGGCGCAGGTCTTGACCTGCAGGAGGGTGAGTGTTCGGAGTGGTACAGGCACATCCTCAGTGGACATGTCCCGTTCAAAGGGCTGACCTGCAATGAGCTTTGTCCACAAAGGCAAGAACATCCTGCATATGAGGCCTATACGTCACGGTGACTGATATCGGGAGCCGATCAGGGCCAAGGATACCCTCGATATTTTATCATGGCTGGCAACCGGGGAGCCGAGCCCATGGCGGAGGATGCGTTTCAAGACCTATACTCCAACCACTTCCTGCGGACGGACCTGAGAACCCCTTCAAGGGTGAAGGGGATGACGCTAAGATCAAGGAGGAAGATTTGAGAAGGGCGTCTTTTGCGGCACCCATTGCTGAGATGAAGGACACAAGGAGGTGACTGTCCAAGCTGCAGTTGCAAAACTATATGCAAGACACCGCGCACTACACGTCCCAATTTTGACACTGAGGACAAAGGAGTTCACGCGCAAGTAAGAAGATCCGGGAGTGGGCTGCACGCGTGACATTTAGCACACCTACACTGCTGGAGAGCGAGTGTTGCGGCTGCTCTTGCTGCTGCCTTGTCTCCCACTTGTCTCCTGACACATCTCCCCACTGGCCTGCCTGTCTGATCGCCGTTTTGGTTTGCTGCTGCTGCTGGGTCTTCCCACGAGGGTGATTATGTACAAAAACTTTACACTTGCAACACCTAATGCATACGATGCAGCCATGAGAGATACATCAAGAGATAGAGCGTTGAGAGGTGTCGTTTGTTTGCCTAAATATACAATAATTAGAGTCATATCAAGACATGGATGACATGTGAGAAACATGCGTTGAGTTCCACCCCCATTTCTCTCCCAGACGCGCCTCATGATGCAGATCAGGCCGCTTAGCTGATGGGTTCCAACGCAATCGCGCCCCCAGCGCTTGCTTGTCTAGGCAAGCAAGTATACGACGAACTCTGACGGAGGTTGTGTTTGCTGTGCCGTTCATCGCTTTGCTATCCCTACCCCCTTAACATGCTTCCGGGAAGGGACCTCAAAAAGTTAAGATACATTTTCTGGGGGGGGGGCCTAGGGGGTTTAAAAATGTAATAACCCGCCTGGCACCATCATAAGGGGTCAAGAGGGGGATTGCCTAAATAGATGTAATTTGTGGCCCTCCACATGAACGCCCACATTTTACAAGCCCGCCCCCCACGGCAGTCTGGAAAACGTAACTTGAGACCTGGCAGGCCTGAACTTACATGTTTGTAACCACCCCCCAGCATCCTCCAACTGCTTCCTAGAGTCTTCGCTTGAAATGTTCCAGACGCAACCAATGAAGCCAAGCAAATGTTTTGACTACGCACACAAAATGGCGCCTCGCAGCCAAGTAAAAATGAACCTAAAAAATATAACTTACAATTGGGCCACACACCCAAACTGTCAGATTTTTCCAGGTAAACCTGGGTTATCTGAGAAATAAGTTGACCTCGCAAATTGTAATTTACATTTTGGCAACATCCCCAATCTTTCAGAATTTACAAGGAACTGGGATGTCCCCCTGAATTAAATACATTACTCCAAATCACACGCAGCTAACTCCTCGGAGCGCAAGCAGTGGAGGCAACCACACCAACAACAAGCGGTGAGTATCCTTGATCCCGTTGAAAAGGAAAAGGCCGCCATTGGAAATAAACGTTGACCTCTCCCTTGTTGTGTAGCATGGTCATGATCCTTCGCCATGTGTTTTCTTTACAGCTGCTTGGGGACCCAGCTGGATCCCAGAAGATAGCACTCTGCCCGTCTTGTTTCCCCCAAAGCCGTGACAAAACGATCAAAAGGGGCGCCGCCAATCAGCCACACGCACTTCAACATGTACATTCCTGTTTGCGTGGGAGTTTGCTTTGGGTGTGTGGCTGCAACTCAGACCGACTGCTGTTCCATCATGTGTGCTTTCAGCAGCAGCAAACCACACAAACCAATTAAAGGCACACACGCAAAGCAAATAGGAAAGGGAAAAGGACACACCCAATGGGAGTATTACATATTGTAACAAATTGTGCCCCAAAAAGTGCGTTCGCAAAATGTTGCAAAGCATGGAAAACCTCGATCATCATGCACCCCGAACTGCCCAAACCAGAAAATCATAAAAACAAATTTGCCAGCTACAAAACAGAAAGCAAGAGCCTTATCAGGACGAGGATGCAGGGAAATGGTGAGATACAAGGGTGTAAAAAGCAGGGTGTGTGCAATGAGACAGCAAGGCAAACACAGACTCAAGGGTGACGTCAAAACATGTAAACCTACTAGTACCACCCGGCTCCAAGAATGCAACTTGCATTTTTGAGGTCATTACCCAGTATATGAAACCTGGGGCCTGAAAAATGTAAGTTACATTTTGTCTTCAGGTTATTTGCATTTTTTGTCCCAAACATGGGAACATGTAACTTACATTTTTTGACGCCCCCCTCAGGAAAGGGTCCGGATGCTTTGCTGCTCTCAAGACTTTCAGGGCCCAATATTTTTTCGATGGTGACAATTTGTTGTTGTTTCCCCTGGACGTGCTTCAAAAACTACTTTGAGTTTGGATCCCCCAAATGCAGGCGCTCATAACACAATTTGTTTGCATATTGCACGTTTTGTAATTATACCTTTGCAGGCCATGTATCATCTAGGTTTGAAAGTGCAGCCCACAGCGTGTGTGCTGGCTGGTTGGGCCTCTATGCCATTGTGTTTCCATTGGCTGACCCCTCAGGACAAGACGCAGCAGATCCCAATTTCTTGCATTTCCTTTTTTGCAATCCTAGCGGCAGCAAGTGCCATGTGCCTCGGCTGCAGAATTAGCTGCAAGTTTGGAAACAGGTGGAACTTTGCACACTACATACACTACATCAACACTACCGCGCGAGAAAAGTTGCCCCAGCTCTGGAACCATACCATTCCCACTCACTGCTTCGCCGTGGTGGGCCCACAATTGACAGGCTTTCACCGCTTCTGAATAAAAGTGGAACACTACTGAGATTTCCTTGGATTGTTTAGGGAATTGTCCCGACTTGCCCTTTGTATGCGTGGCACCTCCATGACTGGTTGCCCCTTTGATTTGGCATGACATCGTACCAGTGTGGACGTGAAGTTCCCGACAAACACTGACTTAAAAAAGCAGAAACAACGCTGTCACCGTTTGGTCCAATGTCATTGCTGGTTACTTGTTTCTTATGTCTCGATTCCCTGCAAGGGTTTCCAGGCTTCTTGAAATTGATGCTTTGCTCGTGGAACATGCGTTTTGGCCTAAGTCGCTATTCCCCAGCGCCTGGCAGGTCCAAGCAAGGGCCAGGCGCCAATCCAATTGAACTCTTGCTGTAGCTTCTTTGCGATGATTTTGATCTGCTCATTGCTGAGTTTTTGCTGGCCTGGTGTGATGAGCCATCCTTTGACAAGGTGGCAATCAGTCTGGACTGCTGCTTTCTGCGCAGGAGATGCGATGAGCAACGCATCCCGACGCATCCCGCACTCCCAAGCAAATGCAAACATGGCTTTCCAATCGGGCCCGCCAAGAGGCGTCTTCAACCGCACACATTTGACCATACAGTATCATCAAAGGAAGTTTAGAGGAACTTCCGTGTTACGAACATTTACACTAGCTGTACTTCTAGCTAATTGTTCTACCACTGATCTCTAGCTCTATAGTTCATTGTTCTACCATTGATCTCTAGCTCTAGTTAATTGTTCTACCATTGATCTGTAGCTCTAGTTCATGGTTCTACCACTGATCTGTAGCTCCAGTTCAGTGTTCTACCATTGTCTGCAAGTTGCATGGAAGTGTCGCGGAAATGCTTCGGTTCATACCTTTGCAAGCAAGTTGCATTTTGGAAGGAAGTCTCGCAGCATTGCTTCGTTTCACACATGTGCAACTTGCATTTTTCGTGGCAGGCGCAACACTTTGTGAACCTCAAAGTGCAGATTTCGTGGCAGGCACAGCACTTTGTGAACCTCCATGCGCAGATGTCGTGGCAGGCACAGCACTTTGTGAACCTCGATGCAGCACTTCACGCATCTGCAACTTGCATTTTTGAAGGAAGTCTCGTACGAAATGCGTTTTTGAAAGATAGTGGGCACGAAATGCCATGTTTGTGCGTACGAAATGCTTCTCCGAACCTCGACAGGGAAGCTCCAACGACGGTTGCCGGACGGTCTCGTGCCATGGCCGGATCATGGTCGGATCGGTTCCGCAGTGGCACGGTGGTTTCAGGTGTTCGTGGTGTTTGTCAGGTGCTGCAGATTTCGTGGCAAGCGCAGCGCTTTGTGAACCTGAATGTGCAGATTTCGTGGCAGGCGCAGCACTTTGTGAACCTGAATGTGCATATTTCGTGGCAGGCGCAGCGCTTTGTGAACTTCATGCGCAGGTTTCGTGGCAGGCGCAGCACTTTGTGAGCTTCGAGGCGCAGATTTGGTGGCAGGCACAGCACTTTGTGAACCTCCATGGGCAGATTTCGTGGCAGGCACAGCACTTTGTCAACCTCCATGGGCAGATTTCGTGGCAGGCACAGCGCTTTGTGAACCTCAATGCGCAGCACTTTGTCAATCTTCATGCGCAGATTTCGTGGCAGGCACAGCGCTTCACACATCTGCAACTTGCATTTTTGAAGGAAGTCTCGTACGAAATGCGTTTTTGAAAGATAGCGGCACGAAATGCCATGTTTGCGCGTACGAAATGCTTCTCCGAACCTCGACGGGGAAGCTCCAACGACGGTTGCCGGACGGTCTCGTGCCATGGTCGGATCATGGTCGGATCGGTTCCGCAGTGGCACGGTGGTTTCAGGTGTTCGTGGTGTTTGTCAGGTGCTGCAGATTTCGTGGCAGGCGCAGCACTTTGTGAACCTGAATGTGCAGATTTCGTGGCAGGCGCAGTGCTTTGTGAACCTCAAAGTGCAGATTTCGTGGCAGGCGCAGCGCTTTGTGAACTTGGAGGTGCAGATTTCGTGGCAGGCACAGCACTTTGTGAACCTCCATGGGCAGATTTCGTGGCAGGCACAGCATCTGTGCAGCTGGAAGCTGAAAACTGGCGACTTTGTAGTACAACTTTAGTGCGCGGAGTATCTGGGGCGCTGGAAGATGAGAACTGGCGACTTTGTAGTGCAACTTTAGTACGCGGAGTATCTGGGGAGCTGGAAGATGAGAACTGGCGACTTTG